AGAACAGCTGTAGATGAAGTTTAACAAGTGTTCCGAAAGGGTAAGTGTCATTTGTATTGTTTTCGTTGTCTTTTAATGAATCAGCGAAACGATGATCAATGCGATGGTAACTAAGAGGAAACAACGATTATCACCTTCCCAAATATGTATCACAACAAATAAACCTGGTCAATATAACTGGGTTGTTTTCCAGCAGTAATCTTAGTACGAAAGGCCAAAGGAAGCATCAAGCCAGTTCGGAAAACGGGGGTTTCGAATCTGTTGAAATAGGAATTCCATAAGTGCAAGTCTGTAATAACAAAGGAAATGGGAGCCATTCTTTTTACAATTTTGAAACAAAACATCGCAGACTTTTCTTCTTCTACCTACGTAATCACAAGAAAAGGAGACGATGTCATAAATGTGTATTGTCAGAAATATGTGTATTCAGTTTGAATTTAAAGTACATTATCACTAATTAATTATCTTTAAACAGTGTAGTCGATTGGAAATAAAACGAATTGTTTGTATCGTTTTGTCAGGAGTAAAAGGATTCCTTTGTAGTTAAATAATAACATACATTAAATCAAGATGTGTTATATAGATTATAGGTTACAGAGAGAGAACACTATAAACGATACGTTTCACAATAGATGCTTAATACATATTAACTGCACATAGAATTTCGTTTGTCCTATCTCTGCTGCCAAAGGTTAACATTTTGGAAAGAACATTAAGCATAGGGAAATTGGCTTATATCATAAAGAGTATATACTGTATTTTTGCCTGAATATCTAAAATAGTGTTTTGTATTGGTATATAACAATGTTTCAATGTGTTTATACAAACTGTCATCACCAACATTTTCATTGTGCAGTCACCATATTAATCACAAATTTAAAGATACAATTACCCTGTTCTCTAAATTTTCTTATGACGACACTCCTTAGATACCTTGTTTCTCAATAAGCCTTTGTTTCCATATTTAAGATACTTCCGGATTTAGTTACAGATAGCTCTAGCATGAAAAAATATGCAGTCGACAATAATATATATTTACACTATTCGTTAATACAATTTTAAATCTTGCCTGTCATAAATTAAATCACAATACTTACAAAGATATTATTGTTCAATTAGCAAGATCTTTGCTAAGTTGACATTCTAATGCAAACGCTTTTATATCCACCCTGGTACAGAGTCTACAGGACGTAAACAGCGAGATAAATGTTTTCATTTGATCAGCTGACTGCACTGTCGAGCAGATAACAACATCTGATTACGCTTTACTAACACATAGAGTTTCATACGTGTACTTTTTTTACACGAATCATCTTTCTGGTCGCTGACTGTACTCCCTCATTTCGTTATGAGACATCTTTCTAATTATTGACTGTTTTTCCTCTGTCTGTTCGGAAGGATCTTTCTAATCCCTGATTGTTTTCCCTCCATCCGCTAGGAGTTGGTTGGAGGGCGGGGTATAACCTGTCATGTTGCATTGAGTTTCTTCTTCTTTTTTTAGTTTTATCGGGAATCTCAGTAATTTGCTTGATGAGGAAAATGATATATACGTATTAATATATATATATATATATATGCCACGCCATTCTAAAATATGAAGTTCATGATGAATAGCTGTGGTTGATTGTTCACAGGACACCTGTTTTATATACAGCAGTTAATTGGTTCTCTCCCGTGTTAGCGGAGAAACAAACCGTAACCGGAAAAAAAGTAACTATGTGTAGAGAAGCTGTCATTTAGAGCTATAGCATTTTTCAAGTACTTTTATACATGTATATACCTGCAGCTCAACCTACATAACGATAAGAATCAAAAGCCTGATATTGTTTACAAGATGCCTACCTATTATGTAAATCATAACTGATATATATTGTTGAATAACCGGTGGCTTTCAGTGAAGTAACAGCTCTAGTTATAACCCCTGAATAAACCTGAACTTTAACGTAAGTAAATGAGATTTTAATTATCATCATAGTAAAAACAAAATTCATCTCACCACAATAGTTGTCTTGTACCTTCTAGGCTAATATCATTCCACAATCAACTCGTAGATGAGTTTCCATCATTCGGTTAAATATGTAACGTAGGACAAGCGTCAGATTAAGATGTTTCGGCAAGAAAGCAAGAACTCAAAATATTGTATAGAAAACAATCACAATTTATTACATACAAGTATATAATCACCCTAAAGCACATCCACACTCACTCTCACTTCCTCTAACAAGCACACAAAGTTCCAAAAAGGCGTCCAACACAGCACGGCACAACACGGTCACAGAATACGTCTAAGTCCTTTACACAACAAGAAACAAGGTAGCAGCTGAACCGCAGCCCAGCTGAGGCTCCCGTGAACAAGAGTTCCACACGGGTGTCTATCTGGGGGACTTCCAAGCATTCCCCACCACCTACAACACCAGAGACGTAGTGTATGCTCTACCACCTAGATAGTGTGCTCCAAATTATCCCCGACAGTTGAGGACATATCATTTAAGCCCTACTATATACTACAAATGACATATGATAAACATAATATTAAGACTTCAGCGATCAAAACATGGAAATATTAATATATCAACAAAACATACACGCTTACAACTCTAATCAATTGCTACGCTTGATTGGACCGCACGCTAAGATATATATATATTAGAAATACATTTTTCCCGGAAAAAAAGACACTCTTACAGACAATTAGTAAAGAGAAAGAGATGTAACAATATTAGTTACTCTCCACAGTCTGTATTCCGTGCCTGTATCCATGAGAATCGGAAAAAAATGACTACAGGTAAACACTACACAGCCATTAATGTCGGCATACCTTACCTGTAGTGACGCTCGCCAAATTCCGCACGTGCACTTCCGTTTTAGCCGTACTTACACTTGTGCCATACGGACTTATGTATAAGAACAGACGAATCATAGACAAAAAATCTATACAAATAATTACATGCGAACGTGACAACATCCCTGGATTCCGAAAAAAAGTGGTAACACTTTTTTCAAAACATCACGGAGCATGAAATACCTATATTCTGCTCAAATAGTCAGCTCCCACATTTTCTGAACCCTTGATGGCTCGTATCTTGAATCGATATCGCTGGAGTAAAAGCGCCCATCTCATAAGTCGAGCATTTGTCGTCTTCGACTTGTTCAGATAGGACAGTGGCTGGTGGTCGGTCTCGAGGAGAAATTCTTTTCCGTATATGCCTCGAACTTCTGTATTCCCCATACAATCCCCAGACACTCTTTCTCGATGACGGCATAGTTCTGTTCTCTCGGGAGGAGTTTCCGACTGGCATAAGCGATTGGCATTTTCTGTCCATCTTCTTCTTGTAACAGCACGGCCCCAAGACCAGTGTCAGACGCGTCAGTTCTTAAGATAAAATCTTGTTCCAAGTCCGGAAGTTTGAGAACTGGCCTTGCTGTCAGGAGTTTCTTCAGAGTGACGTAAGCCCGCTCATGGTTTTCCCGCCATTCCACTTTGTTTGGCAACCCGTTCTTTGTTAAGTCTGTAAGCGGCACTGCAATTGCGGCAAAGTTTGGTATAAACCGACGGTAGAAACCTGCCAGTCCAAGGAACGATCTCACTTGTTTCTTAGACTCTGGTCTTGGTGCGTTGGCGATCGCTTCCACTTTGTCCTTCTCCAGCTGAAGTCTTCTAGCACCCACGATATGTCCCAAACAAGAGAGACTCCCAAATCCTATTGAGCACTTGCTCGGCCTTGCAGTAAGACCTGCGTTCCTCAAACAAGAAAACAATTTCCTAAGGACTTCAATTTGGTCTTCCCAAGTACTGGTGTATATGATGATATCATCAATGAAGTTGTCCAAATGTTCCATACCACGAAGAAGTTTTCTCATTAATCGGCTAAATGTTACTGGCGCTTTAACAAGTCCAAAGGGCATCACACGAAACTGATATAACCCTTGTGGTGTGGTGAAAGCTGTCATCTCCTTCGCCTTTGCTCCCAACGGCACTTGCCAATAACCCTTACTGAGATCCAACTTTGAAAAATACCTGACGTTCCCTAGGCGCGCGAAGATTTCCTCAGTATTGGGCATAGGTTCCGCGTCAAATACAGTAACACGGTTGAGACCGAGGAAATCGATACAGAATCTGTTCGATCCGTCCTTTTTTTCACCATAACTACAAGTGACGAATAAGGTGATTGAAGGTTCGATGACATTCATATCCAGCATCTTTTCAACTTCTTCATTGATGATCTCCTTGGTAGTGTAGGGTAATGGATACGACTTCATCCTTACTGGATCAGACGTAGTGGTGTGGATCTCGTGTTCAATCAAGTTGGTACATCCAGGAACATCCGTTAAGACATCGTGATACTCCTCTATGAGGCTTCGCACATTACGACTCTGATCCTCCATGAGGTCTTCAGACACGACTACATCTTCTAGGGTTTCCTTGCCTCTGTCACCTGGTAAAGCTTCTAAGCTTCTGGTATGATCCATTTCATCACCCTGGTCACTTTCATCTAACACCGCCGTCATGACGCAGGCGAGCAATCCTCCCATGTCACTCCCACTCTTTGGTTCCACGTACTTCCTCAGTAGATTGATATGAAGGACCTTTATCTTGCCGTCCCGGTTGACTCTATAATCAGTAGGACCCACCTTCTCCACCACGTCATATGGCCCCCTCCACTGAAGCAACAACTTGTTTGCCTTTGTTGGCAACAACACCAGAACCTTCTCCCCTGGCTTTAAATCTCGTTGCCTTGCTCGTTTGTTGAATTGCTTCTTCTGTCGTCCTTTAGCGCCCCGAAGATTATCCATCGCTATCTCACAAGTCTTCTCCAACTTCTCTCTCAGGTCCATTACATATTGATATGTAGTCTTGACGTCTTCATCTGTAAAATCCTTGCTCCACAGCTCCCGCAAAATCATCATAGGACCACGAACAGTTCGCCCATACAGCATCTCGAATGGGGAGAACCCGAGACTCTCTTGAGGTACCTCTCTATAAGCAAAGATCAAAGCGTTTACCGGTCCCAGTCTTTCGGTCTCTCCATGCTCATCCGTCGCAACATCTGCTTTAAAGTGCCATTGAACTTCTCGACCAACCCATTACACATAGGGTGGTAAGGCGTAGTTGTCAGCTGCCTTATAGATAAAAGCCTACTCACCTCCCGCAACAACTCCGAAGTAAATTGGGCACCCTGATCTGTCAGCATTTCAGATGGAACACCTACACGGCTGAAAATATCTACCAGGGCCTCCGCTACGCGTTCGGTCTCGATTCCTCGAAGAGGTACCGCCTCAGGATATCTCGTGGCGTAGTCGACGACCGTCATTATGTAACGGTTTCCCCGATCAGTGGCTGGTTCTAGAGGTCCCACAATGTCAACGGCAACTCGCTTGAAGGGGGTTTCAATGAGTGGCATACTTCCAAGTGGCGCTTTGGCAACTCTTCCCTTAGGAAAAGTCCTCTGACAGGAGTCACAAGACCTACAAAACTGGGTGACGTCTGCCTGAACTCCTGGCCAATAGAACTCGGACAACACTCGACTAGCTGTCCGTTTGGCTGCAAGGTGACCCGCCAAAATCGATTCATGGGCAAGTTTCAGCACAGTCTGCCTAAACTTCTCTGGTACCACAAGCTGTCGAAATGTCTTTCCGTTTGCTGCTTTAGGGCTGTAGAACTTCCGAAACAAAAGTCCCTTGTGATAATATGTCTCCGAATTTCCACCATCATTCCGCTCATATACCTCAGACTGCTGTGCAAGCTTCCTAAATTTCGCCAAAGTCCCATCCTTTTCCTGTTCCTCCTTCAGTTCATCTACGCTTCCGATATCCCTCAACATTTCCGGTACCTTCAGTGGTTTATAATTCCCACTCGCTTTCTTTTGTTGTCTCGTCTCTACAGCTTGTAGGTGGGTTTGCTCTTCAGTCCAACTCTCATCAGGCTGATCAGGTGGCTTGGCTCCGATGACGTTACCTATTATCAAGTCATACAATGGCGTATCAAGAACCCAGGCTTCAACCGCGCCCCTCAAGTACGGCGTATCCACCTCCATCTCCGCTATTGGCACTGCTAACTTGGAACCATCTGCTAAGGTACAAGTCTTCGTGCGATCAGTAAGCTGCGTTGGTTCTACCAAGCTTCGCCTCACAACGACACCACAGCACCCTGTATCCCTCAGCACTTTGACCAATCGTACTCCGATACGTCCCGTCACTACTGGCATCTCTGTGGAACCTGGTATCTTCACATTACAAGAAACACTCAGCTCTGTATTCGTCTTCTGATCTCTATGCACGTCTTTGTTTCCGTTCCTACTCTTCTGAAAACTCTTCTTCTTGTTCTTCCTTGGATTCTGTAGCTTGCCTTCGCCAACGTCACCCTCCGTCACTGTCGCAACCCGGTTGGCAGACTTCTTGCTTCGGCAATCAAAGGAAAGATGACCAAGCTTTCCACATGAATAGCATCGCTTTTCCGTGGGAGAAGAAGAACCCTTCTTCGTCGTCTCTGTGGTACCACTTCCAACGGGTTTACTGCCACTTGCCTTTGCTGTCTTCGATGCTAAGGAACTGGCTGATGAACCTCTTGCTTCTGCATACTGGTCAGCTAGTTTAGCCATTTCTTTCACCGTCGACGGAGTTCTCACCTTGAGGAATAAGGACAGGTCCTGATTACAACTACAGATGAACTGATCTCTAATCATCAGATCTTTCAAGCTGTCATACGTTTTTGGAGTTCCCGTCATTTCCACCCATCTGTCAAGATAACTCTCCAGTCGATTCCCAAACTGGGCAAAGGTCTCACCACCTTCCGGTCTACTGTTTCTGAAACTCTTCCGGAAACCTGCTTCTGTCTTCTGGAATCTCAGCAACAAAGCCTTTTTCAAGTCATCAAAATTCAGAGCTTGCGACACTGGCAGCCTAGAAAACACGTCCAATGCTTTCCCCTTGAGTAAGGCACTAAGGTTGGTTCCCCATTGGTCTCTGTTCCATTTCTGGGTCGTGGCATATACTTCAAAACGTTGAATATAGGCATCAATACTATCTTTACCTTCGTCAAACGTTGGAAGTTTAGGACCCTTCGGTGCAACTGTTGTTGAACTGCTAGAGGATCCAGTGTCATCATCTGCGATACCTGCCTGATGTAACTCCAATTTACGCTTATGTTCCCTCTCAGCCCTTTCCTCGGCTCTGGCCTCTCGATCCGCTTCAATCCTCGCTTGCTCAATCAGCAACTGTTTTCTCTCAGACTCAATCCTCAGCGCTCTCTCCGCTTCCTTCTCTGCCTGTTCAGCTTCCATCTCTGCTTTCCTCATCTTCCTTTCCAGCTCTCGCTCGTCTCTAGCTCTGTCCTGGGTTTCCTTCAAAAACTGTAGTAGATCCTCTCCGGTATAACCAAGTTCCTTACCAGCTGCGATGATCTCGTTTAGTGTCGACATAATTACAATACAAGCCAAAGCAAAACTACAGATAAAACACAACAAATAACAATGATTACTCATCCCTTCTCCCAGCAAGCATCACTGCCCCAAACCGCTGTTAACCTCTGAAGGTCACCTACCTTGAATATACTGCTTTCCAACTGCGTGTCAGGACACCGCTGAACTAACAGGAAGAAACGATGGCAAAGGTGAAAAAAAAAAAAAAAAGATAGTCTCCCGGGAATGTCTGTCTAGCAAGATCCTACTAGAAATTTTCACTAGAACAATGATAAATATAGCTTTCAAAACCAAACATCCAAACGTCGGCTATCCCACCGCTGCCACCATTTTTGTAACGTAGGACAAGCGTCAGATTAAGATGTTTCGGCAAGAAAGCAAGAACTCAAAATATTGTATAGAAAACAATCACAATTTATTACATACAAGTATATAATCACCCTAAAGCACATCCACACTCACTCTCACTTCCTCTAACAAGCACACAAAGTTCCAAAAAGGCGTCCAACACAGCACGGCACAACACGGTCACAGAATACGTCTAAGTCCTTTACAAAACAAGAAACAAGGTAGCAGCTGAACGGCAGCCCAGCTGAGGCTCCCGTGAACAAGAGTTCCACACGGGTGTCTATCTGGGGGACTTCCAAGCCTTCCCCACCACATACAACACCAGAGACGTAGTGTATGCTCTACCACCTAGATAGTGTGCTCCAAACTATCCCCGACAGTTGAGGACATGTCTCCCTACGACGGAGATTCTCTACGGCGATGAAAATGCCATCGGTGCCTTGACCCGACTGTACCGACCAACAATCTTCCTGTGGCTGACCTAGGTCTATGACCGGCCCCGTTGCCGAAGCTGTGGTTCCTCAGGTCCAGATAGGCGTATTTGTAGACTCTCACTCCGGCATGGAAAGCTTAAACAACAAACAATACACACAAACATTCACTCCGATAACCATCACAAAAATGACAACATATCGTCCATACAAAGTACACTACATACGTTAAATACCTAATTATTCATTCCATATGGGAATAAATACACAATATTTGCTTTGATTCTCAAGCAAAGTCGTGCGGTGGTCCATGTTTACGCTATAATTTTGACAAAGTAACGCATATGGCGACTAAAGGCTTCCATACTTTTTTTTAAAACTGGCGATACTCAGTGGACTATCGTTCACCTGTACAGGGACATTAATACAAAAGTTATCATTTAAGCCCTACTATATACTACAAATGACATATGATAAACATAATATTAAGACTTCAGCGATCAAAACATGGAAATATTAATATATCAACAAAACATACACGCTTACAACTCTAATCAATTGCTACGCTTGATTGGACCGCACGCTAAGATATATATATATTAGAAATACATTTTTCCCGGAAAATAAGACACTCTAACAGACAATTAGTAAAGAGAAAGAGATGTAACAATATTAGTTACTCTCCACAGTCTGTATTCCGTGCCTGTATCCATGAGAATCGGAAAAATTGACTACAGGTAAACACTACACAGCCATTAATGTCGGCATACCTTACCTGTAGTGACGCTCGCCAAATTCCGCACGTGCACTTCCGTTTTAGCCGTACTTACACTCGTGCCATACGGACTTATGTATAAGAACAGACGAATCATAGACAAAAAATCTATACAAATAATTACATGCGAACGTCACAAAATAAATGTTAGTTTTCTTGTTTGATTTGATAATAATCCCGATATTCACAGTTACTGACCAAGCGTGTTAGCTGTAACACCATGTTTAAACATGTATGTTTTAAATAATATGATTAGGTCCCTTGTACGATTGCATTTCATCAATTACCATGTCACGCGGAGGTT